TGCTATATTAAAAATAGACTGCAGGGTGGCAAGGGCCAAAGCAGAAAGACCAGTTAGCCAGCTACTGCATTTTCTAGGTGAGATTACACATTATGTACCAGCAATCTCATAATGGCATTTGGGATAAAATGAAGTGGGGATCTTGCAGCGTTGAAAGCTTATTCATTTTACCAATCTGGGTAAATCCCTGAGATCCGTAACTCTGACAGTTTACAAAGACTGTCTCACAGATGTTAGATAACTTTAGATAACATAACAAAGAGTGACGTGCTATCTAACACTTGCTCAGCTTTTTTCTTGATGCCTAAACCCACAAAACCAGCTCAGGGAAGAAGTGGGAAGCCCAAGTAAAGGCTGGATATGACCAGAGCACTGTGTGGAATAGCTGCTTGTGTAGAGCGATGACTTAACAAATAGGAGAGAGAACTGAAAAGAGAAGTGGAACCAGTGCCCAGAGTTTTATCTGCTTTGTCCATAAAAGGAGATGAGACACTGCACAGAAGCTTACTCTGGGGCCCGAGGATACAGTCCATTTGTTCTCACACAAGATGGATTTATGTTGTCTCATCCATTGTAAGCACAAGGTCTCTCGTGCAGTAACATTTTGTTTATTGAAATTGCTGAAATTTAAAAATCTACATTGATTATCTGCTCATTTTTTTACTCCAGTACATTTCATCATTCTTATGCCTTTCAGAAAACAATTTCAAGGCCCCAACATGGTAGGTAAGTCAGTGTAATGTACTCTCTGATCTTGACTTCCTTTCACTTGCCATAAAGGATGTTTGTTATAGCTAATTAAGACACTTGGGCATTACTTCATGTACTATTTATATGCTAATAGTTATGACTTGGATTGGCAGGATTGGCAAATTACCCAGCGTTGGTGCTTTGATGCTGCCTCCTCTTATGCTTGAGGCAGATGCTACTTCTCAATCTTGTATCTTTTCCCACTGAACTTGAACTTGGTTCAGGGACCTTTTCCTGCCATCCCAGATATCACCATCAGTCCAGGGGGCCAGAAAGTCACCACCAATTAATGGGAGCAATCATACCAATTTAATCACCCTAGGGTTCTATACAGCATAATCTAAATTTCTTGCTTTTATTTATGCCAAATTTGGAAATAGGCCCGCTAGTTAGGAACACTTACCTTATTATGTATACTTGGAAATTAGGTGAAAGTGCCTTATAGCAATAGAGTTTGGATTACTAACTAATATAAACATATAATAACTAACTGATAGATTTCATAATAATGAATAATTTTATTAATGGCTTCTTTTCTACATTCACAAAGGACTTTTCATTCTAGATTTGTACATGCTTCCCTTTTTTAAAAAGTGAAGTGGTCTGTGTTTTCTTTCAGTCTCTGGGCTTCTCACTTGATTTACTGCAGTTAAATAGTTTTCTAGAGCTCTGCAGCCATCTTAAAGTTGATATTAATGTTCCTGGCCTTTAGGAATGAACAATTAATTATGCTGCAAATGACTTAATTGGGAAAGAATCTATAGGGGCAGCTCCAGAAGAATGACCCACGGCAGGATTTTAAGAGGAGTTGGAGGTGCAGAGATTGTCCACCTAAAGAAATGGCAGTAGCCACGATGGTGGAAGCCTTCCAGTTTGGGGGTTTTCACTACTGAGCCAAGGGGTCAGGGACTTGTGTCAGCTAAATGCCCTGTGTGCTCCTAGCTCACACCAGTCAGGAGAATCAGGGGCCTGCAACAGTCACAATAGAGTTCGGCCCCATTCCCTACTTAGTTTTGTTATTGGTGACATAAAGAACTGCTGACAGAACACCTTCCTGGGCCCCCAGGGAGTGTGTGTTGCCATCGCCAAGGGCCCACTGCCCAACCTCTGCCGTGGCTGTGGACTAGCCCTGCTGGGTGGAAGTCACACATCTGTATGACAAAGGAAGGAGATACTCCGCTCCTGGAGCAATGGTGTGTGCGCTGGGACAACACGGGTGGTGGCTCCAGGTTTGACCGTCTTTATCCTGCCATCCCACGTATTGCCATCAGTCCCAAAGCCCTCTTTACTAGTTCTTCCAGAGCTGCTAGGAATGCATGCAAATGAGGATGATAGAAGGCTATCTCCTACTCTCTGAGACAGTGCCTTAGAGCAAAAAAATTTTTTCTGAAAATCTTTATCATGTATTATAAAAGGAGTTTTGTTTCCAGGAAGCTAAAAGTATTACAAAATCTCTCACTATTATTCCTAGGGCACTAACTCATCTTGGGAACTGGAAAAATGATGCAGAAATCACCGCTGCTTACAAGGCCGCAGCCCTTCCCTAACCCAGGTTAGGGGTCAGGACAGATAGTCATTTGCCACTAAATTGTAAATCTCTGAGCAGGAACTTGCTAGGTTTCAGCAGTTCCGGGGGGGCAGAGGGGGGAGGGGGCAGAGTGGTATGAGAGATACCGGACCTAGGCTTGCCTCAGCCCATCCCCTTCTCATCTTTGTGACCTGATTAGGCACCTGTACTTAAGCCTTCCTGGATTTTGGGACCAGCGTGCGGGTGAGTGGGGGTGGAGAGGTGAGGAAAAGAAAAGGGAGTGGAGCAGCAGGACGGGAAATGTTCCGTAAGCAGAACCCAGCCTTGGCCTGACCCCTTCTACCAGAGGCAGGGGCTAGCAGGCAGGGTTTCAACGACCATCTGCCAGGTCATGTATGAAAGGCGGTTTAGGGGTGTCAATGAAATGGATGACGATGTACCTGTCTTGACATCCTAGCACTCTGGAGGTGTGTGTCAGCAGGCTGCTGCAAAGAGGAATGATAACTGTAGCACTGAGTGGGAGATAAAGGTGTGAAATAATTACAATATGATCCAAGCGACAACGTTACAGCTTAACTGGTTTACCTCGTTTTGTAAGCTAATGAAAAATAATTTCCATAACCCAATGAATGTTCTGATCATCAGACTATTCATGTCTGTATATATTCCTCATGTCGTTTTAAAATTTTGAGGCTAAGTACACAAAGAATTGTACTACGACAAAGAATGAGCTAAGTGCTACAAGAGGGCTGCACAGTGGCCGGGGAGAAAGTATGTTATAAAGGGCTTTGGATTTGGGGGAGGGGGTTTCCAGCACCTACTAATTCTGTGGCCTCCAAGAGGCATTAACCTCTTAGTTTCCTCAATAGTCAAGTGGATTTTATCACCTCTGTTCTGCAGAGTTTCTGTAAGTATTAGAGAAAATATATGTAAAGTACCTACGACGATGCCCCAAAAGGCCTAGCCTCTCAATGAAAATAGCTACCACTACTATGAGACTTTTAAATCAAGCCATAGATAAAACCCTCGAGTCCCACTAAACAGACATCTCCTGGATGTTAGCATCCAGACGAACGGGACCAGGGAATCCCATAAGGAAACACTAATAGAAAAAGCTTCACGAGCTTGGGTCGACTTCTAGGAGCACACCGTTGGGGAGGCAGGGAGGAGGGGGGCACCTTGGACCCCTCTTTGCCTCCGGAGCCGCTGGTAACAGTAGCTGCTGCCAATAGTTGAGGCCCATGCATCTGTCACTGTGCTAAGGACTTTACCTACACTTCCCCATTTTATTGTCACAATGGTTCTATATGTGTATTGGCCCCATTTTACAGGTGAGACGATGGAGGCCCAGCAGCTTGCCTCAGCCACACTGGTAGTGGGGTTGGGCTAAGGGTTCAAGCGCAACCCTGCAGCCCCAACACTCTGCCACCTCCCGAAAGATGGCCTCCAGCTACACTAAACGAAATATCTCCGAAGATGCCCCTGGGTTTCTCCACCGCTGCCCGCTTCCTCCATCTCCCTCCCCTTGCTCTCCCCTCCCTGCTCACTCCTCTCTAGAGATCGCGCCATATACCTTACTTTTATCAGATCCCACATCCTTCTCCCGGGAATGGGATTGTCCCTACGTACTTGGTGGTGGGACAGGAATTTGGAAGGGTTGCTTGTTTCCTCGTCACCGCCAATCCTAGGAGCCCGCTTTCCCAGTCGCCTTACATCTCCCCAGAGCGTCTCCTTAACACTCTACAAGGCCACTGGGAACTTAATTTGTCACTACCTCATCTGGCAACTTATGCTTATAAAAAGATATGTGTGTGTGTGCGTGTGTGTGTGTGTGTGTGTGTGTGTGTGTGTGTACGAGCGCGCGCGCGCGCGATCAAGCTCCCAATCTAGCCTCTGCGTCACCCCGCAGTTGTTCAGAAACGGGGCTCACTGGTGTTTCATAGGGGAGGGCACTTCAGCCTTCGCAGTTTCCCTAAGTCTCTGATTCTCCTGCTTTACCTGCCAGCGTCCCGTAGGATGCCGGTGTCTCACTTCACTCCTTGCCATTATCCAACCCTAGGACAGGATTGAGGGGTGATGTGGGGAGGGCCAGGCGGCTCGGTCACCTTCCTGCGTTGTGTTCTGTGCAGTTCACCACATCCGTATCGGAGAGAGACGGCGAGTGCAGATGAAGACAGGCGAAGGAGCAAAGAGCGGTCTGGCAGTGCCACCTGCTGCGAGCCCCGCAGGCCCCGCCACTTGCTATAAATAGGCCGCCGAGGACAGGGTGTGCGAACGCACATCCCAGCACGAGGGCCAGAATCACGCGCGGAGCCCCGCGCCCTCTGTGCCCGAGCACCCTGCGCTGTGACGGCGCCCCGGAACTCTCCGCATTCCCTCCCACGGCCCGTGGCTGGACCCCCCATCCCCCAGATGGGCCGAGGAGGAACCGCCGGGAAAGGGAGAGGCCGGGGGAGGGAGGCCGCGGCGGACCCGCACTGCAGCAGCTGTCGCCCGCGTGTGACTCGCCTGTCCCGGCCGTCACTCGGGCAGTCACGTGGCGCGGTGGGGAGGGAGGGGGCACCGCGTTCCCCTCTCAGGTCCCTGGGGACCGAGTCGGGAGATCCCGGCTGCTGCCCTCCCCTCGCCTCCCTCACGCTCGCCCCGCCGGGGAGGAGGAAACGCGAGCCGCGCGCAAACACCTCCTCCTCCTTCTCCTCCGCCTCCTCCTCCGCCTCCTCCTCCGCTGGGCCGCCGTGCCTGTTGCTGCGGCCGCTACCTCGCGACCCGCTGTTTCCTCAGCGGGGTGGAGAAGAGGCAGGAGTCAACCGAGGGGCCCCTCCCGGCCCCCTGCGGCTGGAAGCGCGCAGCCAGCCCTCACGATGGACACCCCGCACGGCCAGGCTGTCCGCAGGCTGCCCCAGAGCACCTGCGAGCCCCGGCTCGGCCCCGCGCTCTGAGCGCGCCGCCGCGCAGGTAGGCGCCTTCTCCGGCTTCGCCCATCCCACCCGGCGGGTTCCTCTCGGGGCATCCGGGCCGCCCTGAACCCACAGCACGCCCCTGCGCTCCCCGGCCCGCGGAGACACTGGATTCGGGTGGTCCTGTTTTCCTAGCGGCCCAGGGGGCTCTCAGGGGAGGAAGTTCATTGCCACCTCTTTAGCCTCCTACTTGGAAGAAAGCGAAACCTTTTAGTTCTTAAAGACCCAGGAGCTTGAACAGGCTCTGTTCTACTCCACCTCTACTCTCCGGTCTTAGCATCGCCCCCTCCTCCCGTCAAATATCTCTAGGGCTCGTGTGTTTGTAAGGCGACCAGATTTGGGGGTGGGCGGTCAGAGTAATCTCATGCCACCCTTTGAAAGTTCAGGGTACTTTGCAGTAGTAACTCTGGCAGCTGCACCAGTGCGCGCAACATTTCTTTCTATGGGCACATCCTGTACCCGTCATTTCGAAACCCTGCTTAATTGTTTTACCAGCTTCCTGATCGGTCTGTTATTATGCGACCCGTCAAACTTCGCCACACGCTGTTTTATTTTTAAAAAGAGATGTCATTTTCTTTGAAACCCACCTAAAGGAGGCTTTACGGTCTGTAATTTTATTTAAAGTATCTTATTCTCTGGAAGTTGCCTAAAAGGGAAAAGAAATCGAAAGTGATAACTTGCTCCTTCCACCAAACAGTTTAATTTTCAGAGTGCCCTACGTTAATGGATGGTATTCACCTCATATAGATCTCTCAGTCCTTCTTTCAGATGATTGGATGATTTCACTTATTAATATAATCAAACTTTGAAAGAGTATTTTAAAGTGACTTGGTTTGAATGGGTCACACCCAAGACTCTCAGCTCTCTCCACAAGTCCAAACTTCTAAACTTTTTGCACTGTACTTTAAGCTGAACTGCAGAGGCCTTGATAAAAAGTCTTTCTTTAGGAAAGCAGAAATTCATTCTCTTCCCCAGACTCCAGATGGGATTGATTGAAGTTGGAGAATGGCCACCTGTGGGTTTTGTTGTGGTTTGGGAGCCTGCTCTGTGGGAGGGGCTCCGTGGAAGAATGAATGGGGAAATTTTCCAGGAGGCTGGTAATCCACCTAGCAGGACTTTTCATGTGTCTGAACACTTCATGTTCTGTCACTCTCTTGGGTTAGGGATCCCTGAAGCAGGTGAGTTCTGCACCTTTTCCTACAGTTGAGATGGCTTCTCTTGGTTGGGGAGCTGATGTGCCTCACGATCAGCTGCTTCCTGGGAACCCTGAAGACATTCAGGAATAAGGACGATGCATGCAAAAAAAAAACTGTATAAAAAAGGATTGATTGCAAACAAGTGTTTTAAATCTGTTGGAAATGTACTATCACAGTCTCAAATCTACCTGTTTTTTTTTTCCAACCAAGTTCTAGAGAAATAAAACTATAAAAAGTACTTTTCAGATTTATATGTGAGTAACCATCAACACAACATGAGCTACTGTATAATGAACAGAGCTGTGAGTTAGAGGTCACTGCATGAAATGTTGAGGGAACATTTTCTGAAGTGAACAAAGTGGAGTGTCCTGAGATTATTAATTGAGTGCAAGGAGATATAAAAGGGAATAAGTGCCCGAAAGCAGTAAATAAAATTATCAGGTGATAATTAAAATAAATGCCTTTATGTGGATTTGTCTAGCTGTTTGCCAACCAGTAAAATAGGGGGAACATTCACTGGTGTCGTTAGATTTTATTAGAATCAAAGTAAAAGTTTTGCAAATGGGACTCCCTGCCACAGTCTATCATTATTTTTCCCATAGAGTGCTCAGGGGATTCTCCTTTCACTGAGATAACATATCCGGTTGTGTGCAGTCATGTCAGGGTTGACCTTTTATTGCACATGACATTGTCATAGTATCAAAGGATATGAGGAATAAATGGGCAACTCTGATGACACACGCCTTGCCCCTTCTCCCTTATTAGCCAGCTGTTGACAATCTCTGTCCCCCACTTCCCTAGAAGGCAGCCATTGCCAGAACAGCTGCAGTAGCAAAGGCTGCAGCAGCAATCAGATGCTACTCCCATGTGGAGCCAGGTGTGGGTGGGTGGCTCCTTCTCCTGCCCAGATCTTCTAGGATCTTCTAGGACGTACCACCAGCAAGCAGTGGGAGTGGCACACCAAGCAGCACCATGCTTACCTGTTTCTCATTCACACCAGCATCTCCAATCATTATGATTTCTGGAGTAGGGCTGTCTGCTAGAGATGATTCCGTCTTTGAATTTGCTTTTAATTTTATGCCACAAAATGACAACTCCCTCGGGCCCTTTTTACTCCCTTCATAGCATTTCTCTGAAGGTCCCTATCTCTACTCTTCAGATTCCCCAGATGATCTAAAATGTATATCAGCCCATTTGGGGGCTTAAGTCTGCTTGCGTGTGATGCCTTGGCATAATTTGCTTTGCTCTTTTCCCTGCCTACTGTGCTGCCTGCTCAAATTTAATGGCTATGTTAATTCCAGTGTGTGATATGCTTCTCAGCGGTTTTCTTTTCTTGGTCATTAAAACCTGGAAAAGGAAAATCTGTTCATTAAAATGTTTGTGAGTCCACTGAGCAGACAAGGAGTGCTGGGTCCATATCCCCGTGGCAATGGCAAAGGATTTAGGTTTTCAGTGAAGAACTGTTACCTTTGCTGACATATATCTTCATTTCTTCCTTTCCAATCCCACATTCTGATAAAAAAAAAATTTTTTTTTTAACCAGATTCTTAACATAAGACACAAAGGTTTTCATTTTCAAGGTTTTGACATTTTCAAGCTGTGACTTCCATTTGATAGGTTCTTAGATTTAAGGGCAATATGGCCCTTCTCAGGCTTCAAATGTTTAGAAAAAGATTTGCCATATTTGGGCCATGTGAAATAACCTTGACACAGGTTTCAGTGAAGCTGTACAGAATGTAGGGAATATATTTTAGCACCAACAAAGAAGCATTTCATTTTGAGTGTGCCTGTTTCCCTTGGGACACACAGCAGCTATTTTTCTCTTAAAAAGAGAATGTACTTATTTAACAATATATTATTTATGATCAGTGAATCTACACTTCCAAAGAAGATAAGTACTTATGGGTTTGTTGTAATACTTAATGAATTTGCCCATTAAAATCCTAAGAACAGTGCCTGACACATAGTGAACACTCAGTAAATATTACTTATTGTTATCATATATTTATTTGTTTCTTTTATACCATAAGAATATAATTTTGACATTAGATCAGATCTAATTTTGACATTAGATCTGAGGCCAAGCAAGATTTAGATAGAAAAACAATCCAGTTAATCCACTAGAAAGGTATGTTAGAGTAATTCCCTTCTGGAGATATTCTTATAGTGCAAAGAATAGAAATTTGAGCTTATATAAGCAGGTCTGGATTCAAATCCTGCCTTCACCATTTACTAGCCAGGGACCCTTATATAAATTGAGAATGATAAAACATTCTTCTCAGAGTTGTAAGAATGCAGAAGATCATATATGCAATGTCCCAGAAGAGGCAGTTGGTCAATAAGTATTCCTCTAGCAAAGTGCCTAAGAGCAAGCACAAAGTCTGGAGTGGAAGGACCTGAGTTCAAAATCTGGTTCTGCCTCTTGCTAGTAGGATGACTTTGGGCAAGTGACCTTACTTCTCTGTGCCAGCAACTTCCGTCTCATCTCTCATCTTTAAATTAGAGCTGATAATGATAATAGTTCATAATAGTCATTCAGACATGATAAAAATAGTCCTTGTCCAAGGTTGTCGTGAGAGCTAAATTAGTGAATAGATGCATAGTAAGTGCTTTTATGTGTTAACAATTATTACTATTCTTTTAGGGGAATAACTTAAAGCAGTAGTGCAGGAGGGAGGGTTATACATAATCCCTGAAGGCCAGCTAGGACTCCCAATTCCACCCCTTTAACCTATGCAATACAATAGGAGGAATACAAGAAGTGACAGCATTCTAAAGGACTAGCCTTGAATTGGCTCTGATTTGTATGGGAAGGAAATCTTTCAAAACATCATTACTTTATGTGTCAAATCAGAGAGGCACACGCCAATGAGGGAGCATCCTTGATGATGAAAAGATTAGAATCACTGGCTCCAGGAGCTCTGTGTGATGGAAACAGATGACTGCTCCAAAGGTACCTGTGGGCAATTTCTGGGTGAGTGGCACACTGCTCTGACTGGGTGGGGTTCTGTGCAGAAAATGGACGAATAGTTTAGCCAAGCCAGTGGTCTTACTGTAAAATGAGATTAGAGTATTCAGGTGGCAGAATAATTCTGTTCAGCTGCATGCCCACTCTGTCAGGGTAAGCACAGAAAAATCAAACCATTGACTTGCAAGAGGAGATGAGTGGCCACCTGGGGACTCCCTGCCTATCCTGGAGGTCCTTAACAGCTAATCAGTATTGGCTGTTCCCTAACCTGGCCTGGAGCTAGAATCTTCCAACGCTCCTCCCTTTATCCTTCTTCCCCACCCCCCACGCCCCCTCCTCTCTAACCAATTTTGAGGAGGTGAGGGTGGAACCTGCAGAGGCTGCACTATTCTTGGCTACTGGAAAGTCTCCATCCTACTCCCTGTGGTTTGCTTGGAGGGAGTGAATGGGGGTATGGGAAGAGAGGGTTCCAATGGTGGCCTAACTCCCACTATTTCTTCTCCTGCTTCCCAATCAGTAAACCCTATCCTTTTTTCATGTACCTCCTCCACATTTATATTCTTGACAGGAAGATGAGAGCAGCTTTCTATCCCCACACAATGTTGGGGACATTTGGTATTATACATTATGAAAATTAGATTTACCAGATTTTAGAGAGAGAAGAAAACTTGGGGATGATCTTGTTCCATTCTCTTCTCCAAATTGACATTTGGAGAAGTTAAGTAACTTAATTTCTTAACTTTACACTTGAAAGTATTTTCATGAGGAATCTGAGGTTCTTTGCAGCACTTGGATGGAAGTCAAAGACTTGGATTGTCCTAATTCTGTCATCAAACTTGAACAAGCCACTTAACTTCTTCAGAACCTAGTTTCTTCATTTCAAATATGAGGGAAATTTCTAAATAGCTTACAAGGACCTTTGTAGCTTTAAAATATTGTGATTATAAGTGCATGCTTTCAAGAATATTTTGCATAGCAGGACTCACTGACAAGATTATTGAAACTGTCCTAGTAAAAGCATCCTTGTGTTTTCAATGCCTACCATGTTTATGTACTGTGGCAGGTCAGAGTTGTGTAAAATACAGATGGTCTCTGTAAGTAATAGTGCTTTTGCACACAGGAACATAACTAGAAGCTCACTGGAATAACAGATTGTAGTATTTCTTGCTGAGGTGGTTCTATGTGGGGCTTAAAGGATGGTCAGGGTTTGTGTGCAAATGATGTGCATTGAGATAGCTTAAAAAATAATCTAATGGTTTGTTAGTGTTATTAGAGTAGTTTATTTATTTCATGCAACTTTTTATTAAAAAGTAATGCAAATAGTTACCTACTCTAAGATACCTTGAATCTTATATCAACAGAATCAGAAGTGCTTTTAAATAATTATGGTTCTGTCTGAGGTAGAATTTACTATTTGATAGTTCATAAACAGTGTTAAGGTCCAATCTGCTTTTTACAGAGATACTAAGAATGTGCTCCAGCTGGTTGTAGAGTGTGAACTTTATGCATTCAAATAGCTTTGTCAATAAAACGGCAGAACTAATTTGATGACTGATTACTTACCAAAATGATTGAAATGACAAAATCGTGGACCTTTTTTTGTACTAGATATGTATCGACTTATAAGAAAACTGAAAGTAATTCTGTGATGCTTGTTGCTACCATATTAATAACTACTTCATCCACACTGATTGAGAGGGCTCGGCTCTATCGTTTGTAATAATTCTAGTACTTCTTTTAACATGTCTTGGGATTAGCAGCTGTCAACAGTTACAACTTGAAACAGATTCAGTTACAGGAGTAGAAATTGAGCCAGACATTTAATGCCATTTTCACCTGTAGGTGAGAGAGAGAAAAAAGGAGAGAGAGAGAGAGAGAAAGAGAGAGAGAGAGAGAGAATGAATGAGCATTATTTATGGAGTTATATGAACTTATTTTTATTATCAAGAGAAGCTGTACTTTAAAGGAAAACAGACAGAGATTATATTTTTATGAAATATGTTGGAGCTCTAAATGAAATAGGGGTTTATTCCTGAACTTTTGAACATTTAAAAGAAAAAAATTAGCTCTGAACTGTGTTCAAATTATATTTAAAAAATTCACTCAGCATATGTGCCTATATATCACACAGAAAAACATAGAATAAAACGAAGAGACTTCTAGTTCAGGAAGGGTTTAGAATTTCTCTACTGATTTTAGAAATCCCAAAACTTAAGAGTTGAAGAACCTTACAGTCTTGTTGAGGGACATTTCTTCGAGCTCTTAAAATAAGTGTGATGATGAGATGCAAAATGCAGAAGCATGTAGTAATGGATGCCGTAAATCACCTTGCAAGACAGAGGGGGTAGTCGCTTGCACCCTGACTTAAATATGAGTTGCAATTTGTTTAGAGGACAAGACTGGGGATCACTGGGAGATGATTCTGCATGGGTCTCTCAAGTTTTTACACAACTTGTGAGCAGAGGCACTAACCGTTTTTTGCTTTGTTTTGTTTTTGAACTATCTTGTCAATCTTTTTTAAAAATAGCAAACAGCCATGGAAAATAGAAATAATGTCTCCCTCTGGAGCAAAGGGCAGACATGCTTATTCCCCATTATAAAATATTTGGGCTCCCAAGGCTTTTCTGTAACCCAGTGTGGATACAAGGATCATCCTGCCTGTGGGAATTGGGAATCAAGGAACTGACTCAAATTCTGACTCTCTGGCTGCTGCATTGCTCTGAGTAATGCATTTTCCTTTGTCTCAGACCCAAAAGTCTCATGTCCTCTACCAGCAGGCTAACTTGTTAGCTTACAGATAGGGTAAAATCTCAGACCTTTTACAGTTTGTGACAGGTATTATGTTCTTGGGAGATAGGAACAGTGTGTACTATGGCTCAGAGGCATGAGAAGTCACATCTCATATGGAGGAACCATAACTGGTTCTCTATCTTCGCATAATGGTACATGAAGGAGGGCATTTTAGGGGAGAATATGTAGTTGGAGATACAAACAGGACCAGATTTCAAAGAGACCTTATATACTATGTAGAAGACTTTAAATTTTACAGTGGACAGTTATTAAGGAATTTTTAGCAGAAAAGTGATAGGATCAATTTTGTGTTACTTAAATTACTCTAAGAAATATGTGAAGGATGGATTGAAGGTTGGGGTACTTTTTTTTTCCAGTTGAGAAGAGGTAAGATATGTTTAGATGTAGAGCCAGTTTAGAAGTAGTAAGGATAAAGAAGGAGTCTGAATGACATCTTAGTCTGCTTAACAGCATACCATAGACAGGTGGTTTATAAACAACAGAAATTTATTTCTCACAGTTCTGGAGGCTTAGAAGTCCTCTGAATCAAGTCCACTGACAGATTCAGTCCTGTTTCACAGACTACTATCTTTTTTTTCTGTGTCCTCACTTGGTGCAAGGGGCAAGGGAAATCTCTGGGTCTCTTTTATAGGAGTACTAATTCTATTCATGAGGGCTCTACCCTCATGACTTAATCACCTCCTAATGACCTGACTTCCTAATATCATTACAATGAAAATTAGGATTTAAATATATGAATTTTGGGAGTGGAAGACACAAACCTTTAGTCTTATAGCAATGATTCCTTGGTTTGTGACTTGGCCAATAAAATAAATATTGATCCTGATCATGGAGCTATAGCTTATAGGAAGGAAGAGAAGTTTGGGGAAGGGAGAGGTGAGACTGAGTTAGTTTTTAAATAATTAAATTAAGACTGAGCTGCCAATAGGCTATCTAGATAGAAATATTTAATGGCTGGTGCTGATCTGGAACTCTTTGAGGTTCAATGGGAGACAAACGCCTGGGAAGAGTCAGTTCATTTGTGTGCAGCACTCAGGATAGGTTGAGAATAAGGTGCAGAATCCCCAACATCATTTGTGATGAGTGACTCAAGCTCTCTAGGTTTCCTAGGTCACAAAAATGGCAGTAATAGTCTCTAACTGAGACGAAGGTTAGAGATGAAGGTGGTTATGAAGATGAAATAAGATAACACATGCTAAGTGCCTGGTACTTAATAAAAGTAAGCTGTTAGCCCCAGCAGCAGCAGCAGCATGAGTATGAGAATGTGGTTGTTGGCAGGAAGATTAGATGAAATTGTCCAAAGCAAGCAGGTAGAATGAGGAGCGAGGATAAAGTCAAGCGGGGAAAGAAAGCCATCACAGAATATGAAAAGAAGCAATGGGAGGTAAGATGGGAACCAGAAGTTTCAAGCAGGAAGGAGTGGTCAGTATTGAGAAATTCATCAGGGAGGACAAGGCAGTTAAGGACTAAAAAGCCCCCTTTGGATTTCACAACCAGAGGATGTGGGCGACCGCCACAGGAGCAATTTCGGTGGCTCCTTTGTGCTTCTAGTCACAGTCCAGATTGTGTGTGGACAGCAGGAAATGGAGACAGCGCAGACTTTAGTTTGAAGAAATTTGGGTAGGGAAGGAAGAGTTGTGGATGGGGGAGGTTTGAGGTCAATCGAAAATATCTTTATTAGAAGTATGGGAGAGACTTCAATCACTCTTTTAAAGTATTTGTTGAGCCCGTTCTGAGTCAGGCACTGTACCAGGAACTGGCGATACAATGGCGAAACAGACAGATGTAAGTTTCATCAAGTTTCTTCTTAGTATGTATATATATGCTCAGGAAATCCAGGGAAGCAAACAAATAGAGAATAGGGCCTGAGATGCTGTAGACAACTCAGTTGTGGACAGAAGGGTTTTGTCATCCAATAGAACAGAAAGATGTTAGGATACAGCACATATGGTTGTTGAAAATCACCTGTAGAGAGGGGAAGGCAGTTCAGAGAGTTTGGGTCTAAGAAAAGCAATATCCTCTATTGACGAGGAGGGGCAAGGGATTGAGATGATGACTTATAGTACATGAATGAAACAAAACAATGTTTATGACAGTATTTAGAACATAATAGGCATTGAGTACCTGTTAATGGAATTTGAATTTGTGATTCAGAACCTCTGAACTACATCAAGGAGAACCTTCTAAAACTTAAATGGTATCATAAGTGATAAGGTGTTAAAACTGGTCTGGTTCAGTAGACTACAATGATGAATAGCTGACATTTTTTTCCTGCAAGATTATTTTTTTAGAGGAAGTTACCAGTACTGAATTTAATTATCTTAAAGAAAAAAGAAAAAAAAAACTCCTTGAAATATATGCAACAGGATTTCAGGCTGTCTGAGTAGCATTACATTGTTTTCTATTGTGTTTGCCTTTGTGGGTTCTAGGAGGCTTATCGTTACCCAGTGGGATCTTTTAACCTGTTATAAGTGTGACTTTTTGGGCCTTTTAAGTTTTTATATGAAATGCAATTTCAAGAAAGCTCTTTCTCAATGGAGCAGCTCATATGAACTAATATCCATTTCTTCCTATGTTTGGGTTTCAGACTTTTAAGTTCTGAAATAATTATCTTTGAAAGCAGCTATTGTTGTAACTTCATTAAATTCTAATGCCTCTGTGTTTCTCCCCCAGGAGTCTGTACCAGAAGCACGTAAAATAGATCGCTTGGTCTAAAATAGAAGAGTGGCAACGTTTTGCTGAGTTTCCAGACCTTTCCCAAGATGGAACCGATAACATTCACAGCGAAGAAACATACCTTTCCTAGCGAGGTCTGGGTGGACTTTAGCCTGCAGCTGGTGGGCTCCTTGCCTGTGCATTCTCTGACCACCATGGCCATGCTGCCTTGGGTCGTGGCGGAGGTGCGACGGCTCAGCAGGCAGTCCTCCAAAAAGGAGCCTAGTACCAAGCAAGTCCGGCTTTGTGTTTCGCCCTCTGGACTGAGATGTGAACCTGAGCCAGTAAAAAATCAACAGTGGGATCCCCTGATCTGTTCCAGCATCTTTGAGTGCAAGCCTCAGCATGTACACAAACTGATTCACAACAGTCACGACCCAAGTTACTTTGCTTGTCTCATTAAGGACGATGCAGCCAATAAGCATAGTATCTGCTATGTGTTCAAAGCCGATGATCAAACAAAAGTAAGTGGAGGTGGGGATCAAAATAATAAAGGTTAGAGCTGGATGTTTTTTCCTGTATGAGGATGCAGACATTTATTTTATGTGTACTGGAATGGATAAGAGATCATGCTGCAGTAATGCATAAATTATATCACTGGATTTTTGGTTTACGGGGACAGTTTCTTTATAATCTTGAAGAACACTTCATAACAGATATTAGAAATTATAAGTTTGTAAGTTCAAAAAATTTAAAAGAGAAATCTGTCTAAACTTAAATATAAGAGGTGAACTGTTAGGATTCAGACCATGTAAGAACTGTGTTCTAAAGCAGTGCTTCTCAAACAAAAACATGCACATGAATCACCTGGGGATCTTGTTAAAATGTAAATTCTGATCTGGTAGATAAGGGATGGACCCTAAGACTCTGCATTTCTAACGAGCTGCCAGGTGATGCTGATGCTGGCTCCTCTGCAGATTGCACTTTGAGTAGCAAAGTTCTAGATTGGTGAGCTCCCTGTTTTTTGATCCTGTTAATGAAAATATATTTATAAACAGCATAAGAATACAATTAGCCAGTTTACCAAAGCACTGTGTTCATTTAAGCAAGGACCATTCATAAGAATAGGGATATGAATTTAAATTTTGATACTTTCAGGGTTTTTGGTTTGTTTTTTTTTTACCAACTTCATTTCAGATCTGAGTATCTTGTTATATCTCATTATGTGGCTGAGACAAATATTACATAAGAAACGGTAAAAATGTTGTTAGCTCTACTATTTTCCTATTCGTTTGTGCTTGCATTGTTATTGGCATTTTTTTTGCAGTTCTGTACAGGACTCATTTAAAGTCCATTCTGTGAGAGTTAGTTTAGATAAAATTGAAAATACAATCCTTACAGCCACTTTCTCAGCTGGGCCCATGCAAACTGCAATTTAGTACAGTCTGTGGAAAGCAAACAAACAGGTGAGTGCTCCACTGCTAACCCCTGAACTGAGGAATGCCTGTGCTAGGCCCCCTGTGTGCTGCCTGCCATATGCAACAGTGAGGATGCCAGTGTCAATTCTGGTGGTAAACGTCAGTAAATAGAAATAAAAATGCTCACGTTTTCTCCCTACTATCCAGGGTGCACAAAACTCAGTTGGAAGTTAATGTTCTTGGTGACTAAGTAGATTTGTGGAAGTCCACTTTTGTTTCTTCATTCCTTGATTCTTTTACTTATTTGTTCAGTGATTGCTGCTCTAGAGACTATACAAGGGGTTATTAGTATAGGCTAGGAGGACGGCAAAGCATCAGTAGGTAAATACCATCATACTCTATACTGTGTATAGAGTATGATGTGTTAGGCTCCATTCTGTGTCTCTATACTGTATATAGAGTATGATGGGGAAGACACAGAATGGAGCCTAACACACTACAGTGGAAGGAAGTGTTTTTGAAATAAAGGCTAATCTTAAGCTTAAAACCACTATCTTACCTACAGAAGGGGATAGCTCTTATTGTAAATCATTTAATGTTATTGTCCATGCATCTCAAATAGGCAGGATAGCATCCTAGTTCAGAGGTTCACAGGGACTAATTCCTTGGATTCCAGTTGTCGACCAAGTGTAAATGAATCAGGAGGCTTTGGCTAGAATTAAATGGAAAAGATTTAGTCAAGAGTCTTAGGGTTTGCAAACCAGAAACACATCTAGGCAATACCCACAATGTTCTGAAGAAGAAAAAAAAAAAGCCGAGGGTTCTTATAGGAAAAAGTACATTGTTGAGAAGAATCAGACCTGCATTCTTAGCCTCTGGATTGGTGTGAGATGGTAATCCTCTAGATTAGGGGTCCCCAACCCCTGGGCTGCTGACTGATACAGGTCTGTGGCCTGTTAGGAACCATGCCTCACAGCAGGAGGTGAGTGGCAGGCAAGTGAGCAAACCTTCATCTGTATTTGCAACTGCTCCCCAGTGCTAGCATCACTACCTTAGCTCCACCTCAGGTCAGCAGGCATTAGATTCTCATAGGAGCACCGGTCCCTGGTGCCAAAAAGGTTAGGGACTGTTGCTCTAGATGACCAGTGGTCTGGATTCTGGATGTTAGACAGTCTGAATCATGAATTTCAGGTGGTCTGGATATGTGAACATTGTTTTCTTAGTTCTTTAAGGGGTAATCAGAGGGTTAGCTGAAGGTTTGATGTATATCCAAGCATTGACACATGATTGAAAAGTTCAAAAGTTTATGTTCCCAGACTAGTTAAAACAAAAATAGAATTGTTTCCTCATGTTTCACCCTAGTTGATTTTAGTAATTTAGCATTTTGACTATAGTGATTCGATTTTATTTCTTCACTTTATTTCTCACAGTCCTATCTGCCACCTATAAACTAGGTAGCCTCAGGTAATTCTGAGCCTGTTCTCTCATCTGTAAAATGAGGATAATTATTGTCTATCTCATAGAGTTGCTGGGAGGACTAAATAAGGTAGAACAGGACCTGAAACTTAGTAAACATTTATGGCCATAAAAAATGCTCATCAAAGAAAGTGGAAGCAGGAATATGCTAATTTCATTTCTAGTCTTAGGTAAAAAGAAAAAGGAGATCAAGATGAGTGTCTTCAGCTCTCAGACTGAGATCCTGGTCATCTTTAAGCAACATTTTATAAACCAGACACTTACAAAACTGCATAAATAGACTTAATGGTTTCTGTTATTTGGGCAAACTCCAGAATGAGTTTGAGGATTGAACAGCTTGCACTCCAGGCCAACTCTATATAAGGACTGAGTTTCCTTGGACAGAGTTTTGCACGGAATAGTGTAGTACTTTACACTTTTGATTTTTTTTTTTGCAAAATCTTTTATAGCCATCTGAGAATAGGCTTCTGGCCAGTCATTCAGATACCTGACAGGAAGAAGAGATTTATAACTAAATTCTGTAATTGAGGCTTCTAGTCTTGCCAAAAATAAAAAATTGACCTTATTCTATATTCTAAAAAGCATGGTAGAAATATGAATTAGTTCTTAAGTTATCTTTGGCTTGCATATAATTTTTACAAATATAAATTGTCAGTACTCAGAGTAATAAATTGCTATCATCCTGCTTATTTATAAAAGAGTAATTCATAACATAGGTATTTCAATCCATGATTTTGTTGTCGGAAACTGAACAGTAATCCAAACTGGCCATGATTCTAACCTGCATGATATTTTTTATGTTTTTGGGATGTCCCTGGCACTGTATCTCATAACACAGGATTATCTGCTGTAGGAGCATGTTAACCTATGTCATTTCTCTTGACTATTTGTAACATCTGCTCAGTGAAATAATTCTGTAGATTAAGATCTCTTCTAAATAGATGAGGTCAGCATCAACTGCATTTGCCAGAGGAGATTTATTCATTAACTGCCAGGGTTGTAAGCACAAAACTATTCTTTGAAAGGAAACTCATTGATCAGCTTATAAATTAATTTACTGAAGAATGTCTAGGGAGAAGAAGCATGTAAAGGAATAATTTCATAAGCATAGCATGCAATTGTGTTTCTTACTGTATATTCCATAGAATATACTCAAGATGGTCCATGGAGAAAAGCTTCCATGATCAAAATATATTAGAGTAGCATCTCAAACTTTTCCATCTGAGGACCTCTTTTCCACTCTTAGAAATTATTGAAAATCCCAAACAGCAGTGGTTTATGTGGGTTATACCTACTAATAGTTATTGTATTAGAAACTTAAAACTGATAAATTATAAAAAAACTGACAAATTATACAGACATTAATTTGTTTAAATCTACTCAATTTAATTAAATTTTTATTTTGATTATTATATAATTAAAATAACATTCTTAAATATCAATTCCTTATATGTTAGCATAAATATTATTTTTGTGAAAAAATGACCATCTTTTCCAAAATATTTAGTGATGAGTGGTATAGTTTTACTGGCTTGCTTTCTTTTTTGCAAATCTCTTTAATAGACTACTGGATTCTGAGCTGATTCTTTCATTTTGTGGTGACATGTTGTCTTCGTTGAATATATGAAGAAAGTTTGGCCTCACAGATGTAGAGTAGGAAAATGGAGAAATAATTTATAGCCTTTTTAGAAAATTGTGGTTATTTTTCTTTAACACAGTAGCAAAACTCGGCAAGTGGTAGTTTCTTAAATATTTGTTGCAATGTGAAGTCTGAAACCATATCAAAGCACTTTTTTGCACTTTGTAATTTTAAGATCCATTGGTCTATCTTGCACTTTAATGTATCTTTTAAGCATGCATATTTCTGTAATATCATACATTGATTATTGTAAAATATTGGTTCACTAAATTATGCAGCCCATACTCTGAGGACCATTGTTTTAGGGAAAAACTGTGTTTTCTAGTCCACTCTTGAGTTTTACATTAGTCTGTTAAATCTCCATATATTTATTGGACCATATATTACATTTTCTCATAAAATCCGAGAACCTCCTTGAGAACATATATGAACACAGTTGCATAAGGTTCTGAGATGAAGTGCAGTTTTGAGTTTTAGGTTGTGAGGTTTAGAAAAATTAATATCTTTCTCCCACCTTCTAACTTCTTGCTAGGCTAATAATCAAATTAACATGAGATAGAGTAACAGGAGAAAAACAAATTTTTAATACATGTGCGTGGATATTTCACATAGGCATAAAAATTCCAAAGACAGTGAGGCAATATTGACATTTTGGACAAAGAAGATTTCAGAAGTGAGAATAGATGATTTACAGGTAGCTGAGGATGAGCAGAACACACAGGCAGGCAAATTCTTGCTAGGCTACTCAGAAACCATGGGACACTGTGAGTATCTAGTTAATAGGCCCCTGCCTGAAACTCTCTAAGGCAAATGTCCTAAGATCTTCTCGAAGCAGGTTTTTTAAAATTTAATTTAATTTTTTTTTTTTTATCTGAATCTCTTGGTCAGGAAAGAGGGGGAGGGTAAAATGTTCTTTCTGAGTCTTGTTTCTTAACAAATAGCTTAAAATCAATATCCCAAGAGGCAGCTTCAGGGTGGCAAAACTTTGGTC